TCCTCCTCTCTCATTGCTTCCTTTCCGTGTCCAGCCCCACCAGAAAGGACATAGGAGTCTGGGAGACTGAACTGGGGACAAGTCAGTGTCCCTTCTCAACGCCTCATCTTCTGTTCGGAAAAGTGGGGCAGTGGGCAGTGACAGGATTTTGCATCCCTGACACTTGAGCAGTCACGATTGGTTACCTTCCTCCCGGTCTCTCCCACCTTCTTCCTGTCCCCCAGCCTCTCACTCTCTCTGTCTCCACACTTGTCACAGTGTTCACTTTTTCTGTCTTTAGATTTCTGTCATTGTCTCACTCTTTAGTGTTGCTCTTCCTTTCTCATTCTATTTCCTCATTTCTGTGCTGTTTGTCTTTCCCTCCGTCTACCTCTGTGTCTGTCCCCTCTTGCCCTTTGTCTACTTACTTATCTTTTTCCTCTTCCTCTGTCCACTTTATCTGTCCCCTTACCATGTATCCACCCTTTTTTGTCCCTTATTCCCGTGTCTACCTATTTATCTGTCTCTTCTTCCCACCTTCTTTTCTGCCCATCTCCATGTCTGTCCCCCTCCCCCCTCTGTCCACACCTCTCTGGATGCCATTTGTTCCATTTTTATCCCTGACTTTTAAAAACTTACAGGAATTTTCAAGCATAAAAGTAGAGAAGGTCGTCTAATGAATTGTGTTTACCACCTTCCAATCTTTCTTCTTCTGTTGTCCTTCAACTTTTTTCCTGTATTATTTTAAAGCACGTTGAGCGTGGTGACACACTCCTATAATGGTAGCACCCTGGGAGGCTGAAGCAGGATTGCAAGTTTGAGCCCAGCTTGGGCTGCTTCCTGACTCAGTGAGACTCTGTCTCAAAATAAATAATAGATAAAGGGCAGGTGGAGGTGTAGCTCAGTGCAGAGGCCCTGAGTTCAATCCCTAGCACAAAAAGCAAATCCCACCCGTGGCTAGGGGTGTGGCTCAGCGGTACAACACTTGTCTAGCATGTTCCAGGCCCGGGAATCCACCTCTAGCACCCCAAAACAGCAAATCCTTTCAACTCTAATGAAGATTACATCTCTTTGCACATAGTGGTACCTAAATTTTAATGTAATCGCAATGCCATTTTTACACTTTGCCAGATTAATAATGATCTCCTAGTACTGTCTGATTCTGAGTTTATTAATCAGATTTCCCCAGTTATGTTGAAACTGTCTCTGTTCTTATCTCTCCTTCACCTTTCTCTCTCTGACTCTGTTCCCTTCTTTGTCTGACCCCTGTGATTTTTTTCCTGTTCCTCCTATACATCCTTTCTGTGTCCCTCTGACTGGGGGCTCCAGGCTTTTCTCTCTCCCTGGGTTGGGAGAGAGAAGGTGGAGAGCCAGTGTGGCTCCGGGGTAGAGGTGCCCTCCTGTCCTCAGGCAGCACCCGGCTTGGTGGGGCAGGGAAGTGGGATAGGGCTGGCCTTGGTGGAAAGACTGGAGGCTGGGTGGCTCTTTTCAGGTGGCTCCTGGAGGAGGCAGGTCCTTGGGGTCAGTAGGCCTCACACCTTCCCATTTCCCTGCCTGCTCTTTCCAGGGGGATCCTCGGGCTCCAAGGCAACGGCTACAGAAGCAGCTGGCTGAGTACTTGCGCCAGAGCTGGGGTCCAACGGGGACTTCCACACAAGCCCGAGACCTGGGAGAACTGCTGCAGGCCTGGGGTGCTGGGGCCAGGACCGGTGCCCCCAAAGGCTCCCGCTTCACACATTCAGAGAAGTTCACCTTCCAGCTGGTGGGTGGGCCAGAGTGGACATGGGGTTGCTGATGGGGCATGGCAGGCTTGAGGGCTGCTTTATGTGTAAGTGATAGTTTTTCCTACAAGGTTCCTGCGTGCCTGCTGGGTGGGCCCACTCCCCATTGGGGAGGGTGCCCAGAAGATTTCCCTAGCCTTAGTGATGGTGAACCTTTCAGAGCTTTCAGTGATAACAAACGGCCCACTGTGGCACGCTTCTTGGGACTTCAATGAAGAAAGGGTAGATTGTGGGAACCATTTGCGGGGGGAGGGGTGTTCTTGGTACAAACCCCACCTTTCCTAATTGTCCCCTGGGCATAGCTTCTCTCTTTGCATGCTTTCCAGTGGTGCCCCATCATTCTCATAGGGATTTAGGGCAGCTGTGTGAGGCTGAGGGAGGGTTCTCGGGAGCAAACACTCAAGTCTGATACTGCAGATCGTTCCTCTGTCCTCCTGTAGTCACTGCTTAACAGCTGTGAGCCCCTGAGTGGTTGTGGGTATGGCACTGGGGGGGTGCTGTGGGGTGCCGAGGCTGGGCCCTAATAGGCAGGCCTTTACTGACAGCTAGGATGCCCTTTCTCATGCCCCTAGGAGCCCCAGGCCCAGACAGCTCAGGTGACAGATGTGCCAGCCACTTCCCGGCAGCCTGAAGAGGTAAGTAGAGCAGCGGAGGAGACAGACCTGGCCCTTGCCTGTCTGCTGGGCCTGACACCTCCACCTCAATTGGCCTGTGCCTCCCAGGACATGCGAGCAGCTCAGGAGCAGGAGCTTGAGTCCCTCCGGGAGCAGCTGGCAGGTGTGAACCACAGCATCGAAGAGGTTGAAGCTGACATGAAGACACTGGGAATCAGCCTTGTGCAGGTGAGAGGCTGGATCAGAAATAGGGCCTCGAGCAGGCTGAGAGGTCAGATATCAGCAGGCTTTGTGGGAGGCATGGGGACCGCTGGGGCCCTTGAGGGTTCAGAATTGATGGGGATAAAAGGGGATATGAAGTTGGGGGCTTGGTGGACCTAAAGGGGCTAGAGGAGCCTGTGGGCTTCAGTCAGGCCTTGTTGGTGGCTGTGAAGGTCTGCAGGCGTTGGTGGGGTAAGACAGGTCTCTGTGGTCAGCTCCTCGGAGCTCCTGGGCATCAGTGTGTAGCTGGGGGGTGAGAGGGCCCTGGAATAGCTGGAGGGTCATGCTGTCATATGTGAGGCCTTGGGCTGGGCCAGGGCTGTTTGGGCTCACTGGTGCTGGGGGCCATGCTGTGTGACAGGTGGAGACTGAGTGTCAGCAGAGTAAGCTGAGCACTGCAGAGAGGGAGCAGGCCCTGCGTCTGAAGAGCCGGGCAGTGGAGCTATTGCCTGATGGGGCTGCCAACCTTGCCAAGCTGCAGGTGGGCTGGGGCTGAGGCTGTGGCTGGGTCAGAGGGGCAGAGCTGGATGAGCCCACCCTGTGAGACATGTCCCCCTCTCCCCCACCAGCTTGTGGTGGAGAGCAGTGCCCAGCGGGTCATCCACTTAGCGGGTCAGTGGGAAAAGCACCGGGTCCCGCTTCTTGCTGAGTACCGGCACCTCCGGAAGCTTCAGGACTGCAGGGAGGTAGGCAATGGGGTCCTGGGCAGTGGGTGGAGCAGGTCTGGTACCTCCTTAGGGGACAGTCCCTGAGTTCTGCTCACTGCCCTCTGTCCATGGGCTCCTGGCAGCTGGAATCTTCCCGACGGATGACAGAAATCCAGGAGCTGCACCAGAGTGTCCGGGCAGCTGCTGAAGAGGCCCGCAGGAAGGAGGAGGTCTACAAGCAGCTGGTAAGGCCCATGTGGATCCCTGGGTGGCAGAGTGGGTGAATGGGGGTGCTGGTCCTGGGGGAGTACCCCCTGTATCCCTGCCTAGGTATCAGAGCTGGAGACTCTGCCAAGGGACGTGTCCCGGCTGGCCTACACCCAGCGCATCCTGGAGATTGTGGGCAACATCCGGAAGCAGAAGGAAGAGATCACCAAGGTGTGCCACCATGGCCCTGGCTGGCGGATCTTATGGGTAGACAGGCACAAGGTGGTCACATGGGATCTTCATGACTTCCGATAGGTAGAACTTTCCAGTCACACCCTGACACAGAACAGCCACACACAGTCCACCCCAGTCACCCCTGATGCACTGACACGTGCCCTGGTGCATGTCATGAGTGCCCTGTCCAGACTCGGGCTCATGGCCTCACTGGTGTTTGCTAGATCTTGTCTGACACAAAGGAGCTTCAGAAGGAAATCAACTCCCTCTCTGGGAAGCTGGACCGGACGTTTGCAGTGACTGATGAACTTGTGTTCAAGGTATGGGACAGGCCAGCCCATGTGCAGGCTGTGGTGGGGCTGGGCCCTCTGTGAGCCCTGAGGAAACACTGATGCTGGGGCTTGGCCCTGCTCTGAGTGAGTGGGAGAAGGTGGCCTGGTGGTGGGGGAGGTGGGGGCAGCCTGCCCATGTCTTTAAGGTTCCTTCTGCCTGATCAGGATGCCAAGAAGGATGATGCTGTTCGGAAGGCCTACAAGTATCTAGCTGCCCTGCATGAGGTGAGAAGGGCAGCGTGCCTGGGGATAGGCTGGGAGGGGCTGGCTTGGGTACAAGCCTTCTGCTTCTGCTGTCTCCAGAACTGCAGCCAGCTCATCCAGACCATTGAGGACACAGGCACTATAATGCGGGAGGTTCGAGACCTTGAGGAGCAGGTGAGACCTGAGGTAGAAAGGGAACAGGCCAGGGGGACAGCTTCTTGCTTTATGCTGAGTGGCTATGGGACCGGACATAGTCTATGGCTAGAGGCTTAGTCCTGCCCTTTAGTGTTTGGGCCTGGGACTTGGGATAGGTCAGTGGCTTAACCCAAGCCCAGGCTTCTCCCTTGAGGGTCCTCATGCCTGCCTCTTAGAGCTGTGGGTGCCTTAGGTGGAAAGAATGACACATGCCAAGGGCTGTCAATGGAAAGAGCAGACTATTGTTACAGGACTGGGAGGGGCCCAAGTGGCTGCTGTGGAAGGGGCAGCAAGCACCAGTTGGGCAGGGGCCCCGCATGTGCTGAGGGAATGTGCATCACATTGCCTTAGATCGAGATGGAAATGAGCAAGAAGACCCTCAGCAACCTGGAGAAGATCTGTGAGGACTACAGAGCCCTCCGCCAGGAGAATGCTGGCCTCTTGGGTCGGGTTCGGGAGGCCTGAGGAGTCCCCGGTGGAGGTCCCCCTGCCATAGGCAGGGATTTGGGGTAATGCAGACAGTGCTTGTGCTAGCTGTTCTGTTGGCCATCCAGTTCCTCCCATTGAGGCCTTAGACCCAGATGCCTCCCCACTGGACCCCAAGCCCAATCTGGGGTGATAGCCCAGCATGTAGAAATGACTGCAGTTTATTGGGGAGGGAACTGGGGGCTGGGGGCCTTGGATCTCAAATAAAGGAGGGGCTTTTCTGCAGTCTAGCTGAGGCATGGATCAGGGCTCAGGGGAGGGAGTGGGGTGGCTGGCAAGTGAGACACCCAGTACCTTCTGGTGAGTCAGTGTGTGTCCTCACTGGACTCAGGAGACACTCTGGGGAGCTGTGAGTGTGCACGTGTGTGAGATACACAGGTGAGTCCTAACAGGGTGTGTCTGTGACTAAGTACGTGTTGGGAGCTGCATGAGACCATGTGTGCCCAGTTAAGTGTATTTGTGGCTTTTTGTGACCTGTGATCCCGAGGGTACTGATGCTGCTGCTGTGCGGGGGCCTGGGCAAACCTCTGCTTGACCTTGCATCCGTGGGCCCAGAGGCTGGCTGCGGCTTCGTGCTTTTGGGCACGTGAGTTGACAGGATTGTGCTTGAATGTGACTGTTTATGTGACTACACAGCATTGAGGACATTTGAGTATACCAAGGCAAGTTCTTTGTATCTTGGGGTTTGTGTGTGTCTAGGGGATAGGACTGTGACTGCGTGTGTGTATGTGTGTGACTTTTCCACTCTGAGGTCATCTGTGAGGGTGGCTGAGGCAGGCTGTGTATGGCTGGTGGTGAGGGCCCATACGGAGGGGTTGTGGAGGTGGGGGCTGGGCTGGGCTGGGACTGGAGACCCTCTGAACAGCCTTGGGGCGGATCCAGGAGGGCAGCTAAGCTGGGAAGCAGGGGCTGTGGCAGGCAAGACAGTGGATACCTCATTTCTTGGTCCCCATGGACATGTCCAGGGCCTGCCCACCCTGCCCCCACCACTTCTGCCCTCAATTTTGACCCCTTCCATCCTTCTTCCTCTCCTTGGCTTTGAGGTCAGGGGCCCAGTGTAGGGTTGGAGCACCTGCTGGGTCGCTGGCTCCTTTTCTTGCGGAACTCAAACTCGTCCACGGTCCACACGGCCCCCTTCTCGCTTTCCACCCGCACAAAGCACTTGTGCAGGCTCAGGTTGTGGCGGATGGCATTCTGTGGAAGGTGGGCGGAAATCCACTGAGGCCTGCAGCCCCCACCAGAATGCCTTAGTTCTGCCCGCTCCTGAGCTCTAATGGCACTCGGGGCCCTCCTAGCCATTGCCACCTCCAGAGCTACTCACCTTCCAGGTGGCAGGGTGGTTTCTGAAATAGGCAAACATGCGTGTGAACCACCGGTAGATTTCATTGAGTGTCCGCTGCTTCTCGGGAGCCTCCAGGATAGCCTAGAGCAGTGATGGTGGACCTTTTAGAGTTTTTTTGTATCGGGGATTGAACTCGGGTCCTTGTGCTTGTGAGGCACGTGCCAACCAGAACCACTGAGCTAAATCCCCAGCCCTCAGTATTTTTT